TCTTCTTCTTCTTCTTCTTCTTCGGTTGCTGCTTGTATCTCGCGCCCTCTACGCCATCACAGAGACGCAGAACGACTGGCAGGACGAGGAGGATTAAGGGCACTGGGTGTCAGACGCCGCCCGTCGGTTCTGGCTTTTTGCGTTTATATAGAGCGTATACATATTGCTTTTTGGCTGGCTGCCCTTTTTTGGTGCTGAGCGCCTAGTTATATATATACGTATATAGCTAAATAAGCCCGCCGATTATTAACCAGCGAGAGACGAGGTACCTTGCCTCCGGGGGCAGGCAAAAAAGAAAAACGGCAGACGAATATCAAGCTGACCGGGCCTGTGGGAAAGACGAGGCGAGTCGCTGATACGCAGTGCGACGGCGACGTTACGGGTCGGCGGCTTGCGTGCATCATACGGCGTTATATCGGTAGAAACATTGTGCCGTACACCCTCGACTGAGCACTTGTCTTATGTGTTTGCCTGGGTATAGCATGCGATGATACATATATATATATATATATTTGATACCCGCTGCTGCGTCGACTGGAACCGTGGCATCGACGCCAGGGGAGACAAGGCTGTATATATAAAAAGAGCCATCAGCAGCAAACCGTCCCCCCTGTCCACGGGCCATGGTGATCATGGCCATTCAGGGTCATCAGAGCGCCGAAGCTGCATGAAAGAGAGGCCGAGCCGCGGTGCCTCCATGCCAACAGTCTCCCGTAGAGTCCACCGGTGTCGACTGGATTGCATCTGCCTCGGTGGACGGACTGCTATCGTTGCACTGCGTGCTATCCCAGGGCTCGTCATCTGTCAGAACTCCCGGCCCTCACCCAGGGGCAAAATGGTAATGGGTAAGGCCTCATTCCCATTCACGATATTGTATTCGTTTGAGCTTGGATCTGCCCCGTAATTGAATCCATATTCTTGTTGAAGATATCGCAGGTCGAGTTCGAAGAGTCATAGTTAATCGGTAACTAAGCCGGGCCATGTAGGTCATCAGATGGCTTGATACCAGGGAGTTCAGGCTATATATTCAGTCAGTTGAATCGTACGTTAATTAATAAAGGAACTAGGATGCAGACTTACTACGGGATAACGCAGAGTCTGTCGGACTTTATGCAACGGCCTTCCAGTGGCTGTAATGGAAAGATATACTGAAGATACAATTGAAACAGATTAAACCATTTATCCTACTGAGCAGCAATGCAGTAGAAGGACATTTTGATGCTCTCAATTAAGAATTCCAGTTATATCAGTGCCAAAATATGTATCATAAATAGTCCCAAACATATAACAGGTGGTGATACCGAAGCTGGATATTAGTTAGTCCAGCCAGATTTTTATATAGAGCCAGTCCATCCAAAGTCCCGATCCCTGATCGTCAAGATACTGTGCTGCAGCAACATGTCTATAGATATGGACCTCTCTAACTGACATATTGACATACCTGAACTCCCAACAATATATCAAAGCGAAGGTGAAAAAAAAGAGAAAAAATTCCAATATAATAGTTATTTAGAGTCAAAGAAAAGCCCGGATCGATCTTGACACTCCATCTATGTCTTCAGAAACATGCCAGTGGCCCACATCCTTCAGAACAACTGGAGGCCTGCAGTTGGGTATAGACGAGGCAATAGCACTGCAGGTAACCGGCGGACTGACTTTGTCATCGTCACCAGTGATGATCAAAGTCTGGCAAGTGAGCTTCTCGAGCTCTAGAGGTTTAGATTCGTTGGCCAGTGCAGTGCATGCCCTTGCATAGCTCTCTGGATCCTGACTTAAAAGTGTAGACAGTGCTGCTGTGTAGACGGCTGGTTTCCTGCTTCTGGTAAGCGATGATGTTGCGGCCGTAGCAACCGTGTCTGCAACAGCGGACATTCCTCTGCTTCTTACTACTGCAGCACGAGCGAGAGTTGCGTTCTGTCCTGCTGTAGGTAGAGGACATGGAGGAGGGCCGAGGAGGATGAGTTTATGGACTAGTCCCGGGTTTTTGATGGTGAATAAAGTGGCTATGATGCTGCCCATTGACCATCCAACTAATATTGCGGGTAGGGCGCTTGATATTCCAGCTAATGAGAAAATATTCTCCACATCGTCTGCAAGGGAGGAAATAGTCATCGCTGACCGGGTGGATAGAGGCGATTGTCCGTGGCCTTCGAGATCGAACTGGTGAATTGAGTGTGTCTTTGCCAGTGCGAGAGAGGAAATCAGGGGGTCATAGTATTCCGACCTCCCTCCAAGGCCATGGACGAAAACGATCGGAGGCCCGGTTGGATTTCCGTGCTTCTTATAGTATAGCCGTTTGCCATGATGATTGATCTCAGTCAACAAAGTATTATTCCCAACCATGGCTGCAAACTGCAAATTGGACGAGACCCGTCAATCCTTTGATTTCTGATGTTGATTTGTTTATCTTCTCCCCAACAGAGAGGCATCTGGGCGACTCTTATAGGGAAACAGAATAGCTCTTCCATTACCAGGAATGCGGACTTCCGCTTCCATTATCCGAGCAAGACTGCTCCCCCCTGAGATCTAGGCGTGGTCAATTAAGACTTGAGCTGGATGGGAGAAGAGCGGGCGTCAAGGAGACGCAATCTGTCTTTCGAGTGACCGCTCGGAAGGCCAGCCCTTGAGTGCAGACAACCACGGCAGCGGGAATGGCCATGGGGATGGCAATCAGTGGCATTGGCGGATTCATCTTCCGTGCAGAGTGTCCACTGTGCCCCCCACGAGGACAACGGACTTCCATGCGGCCTCCATGCCAGAGTATCGTACCAGTAGCTGCAAGAAGCACTGTCTTCAAGATATGGCCCACTGGTCGAGCTCTTCTCCAGTCCTTCTAGAGTCTTTCCTCAGACCTCCGCCTTCTCCGTCATCTCCGCCAGCGTGCTGGTAGAGCGTCTTGCTGCCGGCAATCTTTCTCCAGCGGCATGTTCGAGCTGTCCTTGGGACTGACGAAGGAGGAAGAGGCTGTCTCGTTTGCTTCATGGTCTTCGTTCGCCGGCGGAGCAAGGGCAGAGACGGGTAACTCAATGGAGAGCAGGACGGACCTGTCCCTTTGCCCCTGGCTCGTATCCAACGGTCCGTCGAGAGGAGGTCCTGGACGGCGAGCAATTGTAAACAACCGTACGGAGTAGTCTCTTAAAAGCATTCTCAATGCCGGTCTGTCTGCGGATGGATGTCATGCAGGAGTAGCGAGATCCCAGTCCTGCTCCGGTTCGCTGCCGGCTGTCAACTTGTTGTCAACCCCATGTTGGCTTCTCCTCTTTCTCATGGCTTGACTACTGCTAGAAAGCCATCTTCGGCATCCAGCATGGATGAACCTGCTAGTTATCCTGTTTCTTCTCTGGCCGGCTTCATCGTTGCTTGTTGCTTGCTCGTCGTCGTCGTCGTCGTCGCCAACGTCAACGCCATCCCAGGCCAGCGACTACATGGCTAACTAGTTAGTTACCTAGTTGTTAGTCAAATTGGCCAAATATCCAAACATTGAACGGACGAAAGATATCAATTCACCGAAAGACGACCAAACGACGGCACTTCCGGGGACAGAGAAAACCAAGAAGAAATGCGAATGAAGGAGCCCCGAGATGCGATTGAACGGCGAATAGTGGAACGTTTTATGTCACAGCAGACCAGGCTCAGTTGCACAGGGCAGGATGGCGGCCATGCAACGCCCAGCACTGAGCCCGCGTCTGCTCGAATTCCACCTTTGACTGCTTTTACTTGTCGGCCTCAGCTCAGGAAGCTTCCAGTCCGCCCGCCTGATCGCTTTTTTACGAGGGAGAGAGTGGCCTGTCTCAGGCTGTTTGGTCGTGGTGGGCTACGCTGACCCCCCCTTTTCCCCCGGGTATACCTCTCGCATGGCGTTCACTACTCAAGGCGACAACCGGTCGACTACCTAGTTGGCTGGTGGCTAGCTGGTCATTACCATGGATGGCATCTTGGCCGAATAACATAAGTGGCATCGATGTGCTGAGCGTCCGTTGACGTTCGGCGAAAGGCATCAATCACGATGCGTGAGTTCTCTGCTACCCTGCCGCACATACATAACTATATGCTAAAGATATCAGACTAGTTACGCTGCAGATGCTCCGTAGTTGGCACTGTTTTAACTACTCGACGAAGAGTTCAGCTCGGAAGTCAATCAGCAAGGCGTCTCTGCGTGTGCCGTATTAATATTTTGGCCCCGGGTTGAACCTACAAGGAACGGCCGAGTTCTTCCCGCTGGGGGTTAAGAGACATGTATAAAAATAACCGGCAAATTCTATTATTCAAGGGCAAATCGTACCTGTCCTCCTCTTCACCAGATTGATAACTGAGTTCACAGTCACCTCGATTGGCCACCGATGCTGGCTTCTCCCGGTTCTTCGTGCTGCCGCGGCATTCTCCTCCCTACCAGGGCGGACGGCTTCCTCGCTTCCTCGCTAGCTACTTGACCACCAGCTAGTTCGCGAGAGAGACGGGAAAGAGAGGCATAACCAACCAACCTGGCCGCCACTCTAGGCTACATTAACCAGGCCCTGTGCGCAGTGAGAGCTCGGATGGCGTTTTTCTTTTGATTCCTCCCCAGTCGCTCACCCTGTGGCGCACCGCGACTGCAACCATGCAGAAAGGATAACTAGTTCACTACAAAGGGCTGTTCGATGTCGATCTGTCCACCTGCAGCGCCGTTGTATCGTTCGCGGAATCCAGGATGCTGAAGGCGGAACTCTCTTCCACTCTGCCTTTGAAGGAAGCCAGGCTATCTGAAGACTTCAACCAGTTGTGTTCCCAACCGACAATCCACGGGAGAAAGCATAACTAGTTATTTATACCTGGGAAGGGGGGTGTCAGACAGAGTCTTCCGTTCTCTTCTCCCTACCCCAGCATCTCTAGTTGTTCTCCAGGCAGCTGTTGACCAGGCGGCTCCCCTTTCAACGAGTACCTATCGCACACGTCGAACAGGCCATGGTAGTGCAAAACTCAAGCTCTTATGAAACGGATAAACATTCCACATTGAAGAGTCACTCCTCTGCTTGCACAGGTGGATCATCTGTATAGCAAAACTCTAAATTGATATCAGCACTGTGCTACAGAGGAATAACAGCTTTCTTTAAAAGAGCAGCAGGAGGGCCCCATTGAAATATATTCTGACCCCAAAAGAAGGCACATACATCCATATACCTATATACCACATCATCTCATTGACAAGCGAAGCCATGGCATCAGGAAAGATGGAAGAGCCTCCAGTCTCTTGGAGCTCAGCAGCGAACACGATTCCCCATTACGATGGTCCCCCAAGGAACATTGCTACCATCGATGCTCTGGATTTCGGCGTCCATTTAACTCCCAAGAAGTATGAGATGGCAGGAACCCATCCGGACTCCAAGATCATGTTCCTAGATGTTGAAATTCTGGACTCTACCGGAAAGCTACCCTACCGTGGTGATGTACTCATTGAAGGTATGTCATGTTTAGCCTGTCATGTTTCACAGTTTCATGGTACATGAATGTACGTGTCGGCGGCGATTAACGATTGGTACAGGAGAGCGGATAACCGCCGTCGGAAATATTCCTGGAAAAGAAGAACTCAAGAAAAATCCCCGCGTACGAAAGATCCTTGGACGAGGGCGCACCTTGATGTCTGGCCTAGGCGATGCTCACACTCATCTCTCCTGGAACGGAGGCGACCTTGAGCGTCTTGGTGAACTTGCTGTCGAGGAGCATACCTTGCTCACTGCCAGGAGTGCTCAGTGCTATGCTGACTCCGGTTACACAATGTATGTATGCACTAATTCTTTTTATCCCATTTTGTTTGATATTCCAGATAATTATATCCCTCTCTCCCGTTATTTTTATTTTTATTTTTATTTCCCCCCCTATCAACTTGTTATGTATCTAATATACGCTCGGATTTGCCTCACTAACTAGTTATTTGATGAAGGTGTTTCGGAGCGGCAGCAGCTAAAGATCGATTAGACGTGGTGATTCGTGATTCCATCAATGATGGAGATATACCTGGTCCAAGATGCCTGGCTAATGGAATGGAAATTGCCCGACGTGACGGGGAGCTGGTGGCTGGGATCACTGCATTCGCTGACGGTCCAGAAGAAATGAGGGAAAAGGTCAAGCATCATGCTGAGCTTGGAGTGGATCAGATAAAACTCAGCATGTCTGGTGAGGAGGTAACTGATACAGGCATAATGCTGCTCAATTCTCGCATGAGCGTTTGTTAATGGCTCACTACAGATAACGGAGACCAGAAGTGCACAGGATTGTTACTTCACAGACGAAGAAACCGCTGCTTGCGTCGATGAAGCTCATAAGCGTGGAATACGTCTTTGTGCACATGCTCGAGCAAGGGATTCGGTAAAAATGTGCGTGAAACATGGAGTTGATGTTATATATCACGCTTCGTATATCGACGATGAAGGTGAGCCATTTACCAACTTGCCGCGGGTTGTGAGAAAAGTCTACTAAAAAGCTCTATGACAGGAATGGACATGTTAGAAAAAAACAAGACGAAACATATTGTGGCCCCAGCCATAAATTGGTTGGTAAATATATTTACCGAGGCCGCAAAGTTTGGATATACTCCTGAAAAGGCAGAAGAAGTTGGATACCGGAAAGAAAGGGATACCGCAATCTTAGCTCTGCGAGAGATGCACAGGCGTGGTATCGTAATATTGCCAGGAGGGTAAGTCTATCCCTAGGACCCACAAAACAAGAAATGTCGTCTAACGAAGCCTCCTAATAGTGATTATGGCTTTGCCTGGACCCCCCATGGCACATATGCCAGAGACCTTATGCACTTCCAGGAACTCATAGGTTTCACGGCTCATGAGAGTGTCATCGCCGCTACTGCTGGCGTAGCAAAGCTATTCATGCGCGAACATGAACTGGGTAAAATCCTACCAGGTTACTATGCCGACTGTATCCTAGTCGACGGAAATCCGCTTGAAGACATCGCTGTTCTCCAAGATCATGCAAAACTCGACGTCATCATCATCAACGGACGAGTACATAAGATTGGGAAAAAGGATGGTGCTGGTAGGGTACCTTTGAGTGCCAACCCTGAGAGCAACGGCCATGCAAACGGTGCCGGGAATGATATACCAGATGGAGAGAATGTCCACCATGAAGAATTCCCGGAGATCAAGAAGAGTATGCAGAAGCAATATTAAGTTATATGCCCGGGTCGAGGCTTTTGGGTCAATGAAGGATATTTACGACTTATGAACCACGAGGCATGCCGTAACGAGTTAGCGTGTTATTATTGAATTTCGGTGACGTATTTTGGGATATTATCACGAATTTCATCATGCATCATTATATTCGAAGTGAATATAGTAGATGGTCCAGTGAAATGTAAAGCCATACAACGTAAATTGAACTATAAACAATATAATTGCTAGTAATACCAAACTTCGTAGCTAGAGATCATCTGCTATCAGATAGCATCATCGGGCACAGTCGTTGGATCATTATGAGAAAAAAGAATAAATATACAAAAATAAAAATAAAGGGGGGAAATGGGGGAGAGGATATAAACACTTAACGTAAAACCGAAATCAGGATATCAAAATATCAAAATCATAACAGGATGGAGAAAAAGCCAACGACAATAAAATGACGAGAAAGCCACCCACAATAACAGACACAAAACACACAAGCTCAAACCAACCCTTTATTCCTTTTTTTTTTTTATTTTTTTTTTTCTATATTAATATTATAGTTTTTCTATCTTGTACATAAAAACATACCTCTCTCCGAGAAAAGGTAGGCCGGCGTGGAGGTGATCTATCAAGTAACCGACCGTGTTCAT